CCTTAGCAACTAGAATAGGGTTTTGGGGTATATTATACTATAATTATAATAAGGAACCCCCAAAACCCTATTCTAATTATTAAGGCCCTTGCATTAACCCTGGACCTTCAATTTCCGAGTTCTCGGTTGACTGTAGCGATGTTTCCTCTTCGCCCGTTTTTGGGGAAGTCTTGGCTGCCTTGGTAGTTATAAGTAGAATCAAATGTGCCAAAAACTCCTTGAACAATGGCACTGCAAGGATTTATAGTTATAGGTGCCTTACTCGTAAATCCCTTTTAAGGCAGGACCCCTAGCCTTCAACTAAGCGAGGACTTTGGGGTCGAAGGTGTGATCTTTTGGGATCAGGGTGCCTCACAAACAGTTTGGTGTTCGGTGCTGCTGCCGTAGCGGCAGCCGCGACCAGTCATGACTCGTAAAGGAGGCCCGGATTCAAGAACAACACACGCATGACTGTCGTGTCTATCGTCTTTTGTTGTGCTTTCGGCTTGCCCTAGGCCCTGAACACCGTTTTCACAGCGCCGAGGTAGGCAGCGTCACGAGTCCCCGGAATGAGAGTGGTCATTGCATGCTTTCCACAGCATCCTTGCTGCAGACTCTTTTCATTCGACTTTTGCTAAACCGACACTGTTCTGCAGGGGCTTGAATTGTTTAGTCGTCACCAACATTGTTGGCGTTCCTACTGGTATTACAAGTATACTGCATGAGACCCCAAGAGCATTGTTCTGATTCTTTGTGCCCCAACAGTAGTTCATATCAGTGCATTGTTCTATACAGCTCTATATGGGAGTTTCCGAAAATAAGGGACCCGAATATAGTACCCTAAATAGTAGGATCCTTATTATAAGGACCCCACAATAGGGTACCCTAATTTTCGGAAACTCCCATATGCGGAGTTCTTGATGCACCAGGTTTGGGGTTTAGGGCTTACATAGGATTGAGGTTTCACGTCGGTCTAGGATTCAGGGTTTAGGGTTTAGGGTTTAGGGTTTAGGGATCATTGACTTCATCGCTTCTGCTTCTGAGGGCGCTCAGAGCTATGTATCCCCTCTGCTGGTTTCAGTGAGTTAGGCACCTAATGTCTGTGCCTGATGCAAGCACTGAACGTGCAAGTATGCTTATAGCTTATACTTGCAACCCAACTTACGGTTCTGGAAATAGAATCCGTATCCTTGAAGCATAAGCTTCACATCATGTCAAATCCCCAAACGACATGATTTGGCAGAGCAGCCCTCACACCGCCTCTACTTTGGGCTTCAGGATTTAGGGTAGTAGATGAACCCAGAGAGCCCAATACCCCTTAATTAAGGAATATACCTTACACCATGACAGTAGGGCCCCTAGAGTTTTAAGGTATACCTTAACAACCCAAAACCTACTTTTTTTGTAGGGTCCCTATAAATCCCTATTTCAGGGTTTATAATAAGAACCTACAAAAAAGTGGGTTTTGGGTTCTTAAGGTATTCCTCAACTAAGGGATATTGGGCTCTCTGGGAAGGTAGCCCTTAAGCTTGTTGCACTCATGCTTGAGAGTCCAGGCCTCAGGCCGAGGTCTACTTGAAGGTTTAGGGGTTTAGGGTTCAGGGTTTAGGGTTTAGGGTTTAGGGTTTAGGGTTTAAGGTTTAGGGTTTAGGGTTTAGGGTTTAGGGTTCTTGGGTCGTTATAAGTGGGGTTTTAAGTAGGGTAACTCTAGTTACAACCCACATTAGGGGATGTATAACCCTTGGAAGGTTCATGGGTCGTTATAAGTGGGGGTTTAAGTAGGGTAACTCTAGTTCTAACCCATATTAGGGGATTTATAAGAGGGGTTTGAAGTAGGGTATCTCTAGTCATAACCCATATTGGAGGATTTATAACTCTACTTATAACTTCCCGTGATAGCCCACATTGAGGATTTATAACTCTACTTATAACTACCCATGAAACTCCAAGTAGGAGCTTGGAAGAGCATGCATACCGCATGAACCATGCAGGATCTCCTTCATTGCCGCGTGGTGCCAATCGAGCACCATGCACCTTAGAAGCTAGCTGGATATTTTGTCGCTGGGGTCGGTTCTTGGCTTCACAAGTCCGCCTGGAACCCCCTTTACCCCAGAAGTTGCGTGTGCAGATGTTGATCTTTCCTGCGAAAAGCAGTCTCTATGGTTGGGGCATCTGAGCGCCTGCTATACCCGCAAGTCAAGTCTGCTGTTTAGCTGCGTTTGATACACAACCCTCACCCCCAACCCCCAACCCCAAACCAAGCCCCAACCCCCAACCCCCAACCCC